TGCCTTTTTCTGTGCCAGGAATTACTCTTGACTGTATGCCTCTGTCCCAGGCCAGGTAGAGCACAGATCAGACTTGGCACCTAGTGATGGAAGAAGCATGTGAAACATGACTAGTATGAGAGAGGGAGGTACATGCCTGGTGCCAAGCACTGCTATCATCCTCTCTTCTTTGCTTTGCAGGCTGTTTATTTCCTGCTGTCTGACACGTAGCTCTAAGTTTGTGTCAGCTTATTTCCCACTTTGATTTGAACATCCAAAGTGACCCATCTTCCTTGTTGTGTCTCTTTATTTAAAAAAAACCCACAACTCACTAACTGTTACCCAGGGGAGGCTGATCTTATAATGAGTTCATGTGGGGAGATGGTCAAGTTTCCAGAAGCACTAAGGAGTGTTTGACACTTCTTGTAATCTTGAACTGTCCTGCTTCCTGGCTGTAAGACAGCACTTCCTCCTGACCACATCCCTAATGCCTGCTGAGCGTTTGCAATCTAGGCAATTATTCCTAAATTCCTGAATGCTTGCGGAAGTAAGGAGCATCCAGAGAGTGCCTGGAAGACAGACTGCCTTTTATTTTGACCTGTAGACATGACCCGAGAGTCCATAGTGCCTAGTGGTACAGGTGACTAGTGCAGTAGCTGACCTGGCCTCCAGATGTCCTTTCAAAGGGATGCCCCTCTTCTGTACATCTTGAATCATTCGTTGGCCATTTTATAAGGTGTTACACAGCGTACATACCCACGTGAGTTGATTCCACGCTACCAATGTTTTCTACTTTTCTTTGCTAAGCTGCCGCTTAGATGGGTATTTTCTACCATGTATAATGTTAATTTAAACTGCTCACTCTAATCAGGCCCACATAGTCTTAAGTGATACGTCTATTTCTTGTTGCTTGTATTAAGCTACAGTTTCTTGCAAACTAAACTGTTTGCCACAGAGTCACACTGCAATATGAATGTCCAGCTAGGAAAAAAGTAAAAAATAAAAGTATTTATGTTAAAGTTTTGCTATATTCTGTGATATTTCTGGTGTGTAGGTTATTGCCACTGTTCATTTTCAGTCTGTTTTTGCACATGGGCACTGTATGGTAGATGTAATGGAAAGCTTCTCTATCCCCTGTATTTGTATCCCACTTGCATCTTTTGCTGACAGTGCCCTTTTGGGAACAGTACTGAGTCTGATCTCATCTGTTCTCCAGATGGACCCTTGCCAGGGGACTGAAGCAGTTACTGCAACTGTCTACTTAACTGGTTTCTTTTCACAGTGCAAAGCGAAACCTTGAGCAAGGCTTCAATATACTGAAAACAAAACAAAAGAATGAACAAATTTGCATCTAAGATCATAGAATCATAGAATAGTTTGGGTTGGAAGGGAACTTAAAGATCATCTAGTTCCAACCCCCCTGCCATGGGCAGGGACACCTTCCGCTCGATCAGGTTGCTCAAAGCCTCATCCAACCTGGCCTTGAACACTTCCAGGGATGGGGCATCCACAACTGCTCTGAGCAACCTGTTCCAGTGCCTCACCACCCTCAGAGGAAAGATCCTGGCTGTATTTTTGAAATGGAGTCATGTTGCAGACTCTCGACCTATTTTTGCATCAGCAATGGGAAGAGGGATTTGATGTTTTATACTAATAGTTACTATGTGGTTCAACCGCACTTGGGCCTTTGAGCTGCTGGGGCGGAAAATGCAGAAGCGCAGAGACAACTGTGGTGGGACTGGTCCAGACGTATGACTTAGTTCTTCTCTTTGCTGTGTCTCATTCCTGTCATGTTTTGCCAGTGTTTTTTTTGCGTTTAATTAAGTGGGATTCCTGGCACCTTTTACTTTCCAGAATGTACCTGGTTTTGGGGATTGGCACTTTTCTGTACATTTGATGCTCCATGCTGCTGCTTTTAGACAGAGGCTGTTTTCCTTCGGTGTTGCTGGAGCTTGTGAGTTCTTTGTGTTATTTTTTTTTTCCTCTGTCCAGGCTTCTCTCAGAGTATATAAAAACTGTAAGCAAATTTGTTTGCTTACAATGTCAATTAGCAGTGCTAATTCTTCCACACTGGGAGATCTCTTGAAGAAAGAGAGGGCAATTTTCTAATTAATGCAGGCACTTTGTCTAACCCCTGTGTTATCTGGTACCTCTGTCTCAATTAAACACTAACCAGTTTGCCAGGAGACTCCCGCTGCTGTCTCACAGTGCAGTGCTAATAGAGCAAGTAGGGAAGAACTGCGGCAGGAGAACTCAAGTTTGAGGAGCACAATCAAGCTAGAGTCTCTTGCTGTTGCTGAAGCAGGTGAGCATCATGTTTAGGATGTAGAACTCAGTTGACTCTTTAAAGCCAATTTTAAATAGCTTCCAGAATTTCTGCAAGAGGATCTTCAAACAGTTCAGAAACTAGGTGAAACAATGTGTCAGTCTTTGAAGGAAATTTCATGGTGGTGGTTAATTTTTTCCTCTTAGTGTTCCTCTGTGAGGAGAGTATTCCTTAACCCATTGTCAGTGGTAAGAGATGGCAGGATGCGACCATAACAGCCAGCCTTGCCCTGGCCTATACAGGCATATGGTCTACATAACATGCCATCTAAATAAGACTCATTTTAATGAGAAATCCTGAGGCGTGCAGAACCAAATCACCTCCTCAAGGAGCTGAAAGCAAACAAGGTTAATATTGAAAATTAATGTGTTGTATTCTGTAGTGGCTGTGCATTAATGTTAGGAATAATAAATACAGCATCTCTAATGTTTAGTTACATGACCTTTACTATTTTCCTTTGCTTGAATAGCTGTGTAAGAATTGCCAGCTTTGGAAGCCTGAATTATAAAGCAGCTGTGATGGATAATTGACCATTCAACTCTGAGAATGGAGCTTCCTACCATTATAATTAATTTCTATAGGCATCCACATGGCTGATTACTAGATTAACCAGTGGCCTGAGGGTGCTAATGTGTTACATTCAAACTCAGCTTCCTTCCTGGCCTTTAATACAAACATTTAGATAGCTAGTAAAAGGATTTGTACAAAGCTCCAAAAGCATAATTGAAAATAATAATAAGAATAATAAAAAAGCTCCACTATAGTATGTTCTGCTTGTAAAATCTCTGAGGCATCAAATGTAGCGATGTCAATTGGGATTTCTTTTTTTCCTTGAGTGTAAAATGGAGAAAAAAAGAACACCTACTTTTAGCCCAAACTATAACAGTGATTACCTCTCACTGCAGAGATTTTAACTGTGATCAGAGTTTAACTTTTCCACGTTGGACCAATTGCAATGAAGGACTCAAGCATCACATCGTAGGGCTGTTCAACATTCAATTCATAAATACCTGGCCTTGAGAATGGAATCCAAAATTCTACTTTAGGCAATTGGGTCTAAATGCAGGACGAGGAACAGAGTTGTGTCCAAGGTAGGCAAGTGCTTTGTAGGAGCTACTTGCCTTCAGCGGGAAGGGTGGAAGCTGCAGATCCACCCACAGCAGCCTGTAGGTTGATGCCCAAGGGTTTTTCCTGGAAGGTGGCTCAGAATCCTCCTCAGCCATGGAGATAACTGCCCAGGGTCAGCTGTTTCCTGGGGAAACAAAAGCTGAAAAAAAAAAAAACCAACCATGAAACAAAAGCAACTACGGATCAGCTTTGTGTTAGAAGGAAAAAAACCCTGAATTTTGTGACAAGTCTTGGAAGTGTCTGCCACATCAAGAAGGAGCCCCTGTGGGGATTGTTGTGCAAGTCAGCAGCTGAGCAGTATGTTTACATTTCGAAGCGGTTCTGTGTAAGGGCAAGCCTGGGCATATATGATACTTTAAACTTTAGATGTTGCCAGAGTCAGAATGCAATTGTCAAATTTGGGTTTAAATACCTGAATAATAATCACTACTTTAAAAACATAGGCCTTTTCTTGTATGGGATTGTTAGTGTCAAAAGCAGGGAGAGTACCCTGAAAAGCACACTTGCAAACTCAAAGATGGGAAATAACAGTCCTGTGCAATATAATCTGTGTAATACATTCTCTTTTGAATGTGATCTTTTGAAAAGATTCTCTTTGGTGACCTGGCACAGAATGGGGAGTTAGGATGCCGCCTGTCCCCAGAATGTCCATTATTATCACCTCTGCTGGTTTTACAGCTAAATTCTTAATATTTGATGTAGTTCTTAAAACGGCAGCTTCTTCAATCACCTGATTGTGAGATAAATAAGTCATTTTAATAGTAACACTTTCTGGTTGTACAGAAGAGCTTGAAAATATGATTGGAGTGTGGTTTCGTTCTTATGAGCTTGTTTTGGATTATTGAGTAGTTGGATTCAGCTGTGCAGAAAATGATACTTGATCAAGACTTTTCATAATATGTATTCACAAAGAGGCTGAAATAGTGCCATATAATTCTGGCACTGCTTAATTTTCTCAGGTGCTGAATTTTACAAGCTAAATACTGCTGTTTTACATAGATTTTTGTATGCAACATCTTTAAAAAAAAATTTTGAAAGGTCAAAAAAAACCCACCTCCATTACATGCATTGGTAATAATTCCTTTATCCAGCTTTGTCAGGGTTTCGGCCACAATTTTTCAGTACTGCTCCACATACTAAAACCACTTGAGTTAGAGATGGAAACACAACTTGCTGGTGAGAGAAGGTCTGAACCAGACGGAGAGGACCTGGGGAGACAGGCAGGGATCAAAGGTTTGTTCAGGGAAGAGAAGACCTTTCCTGTAAGATTCCTCGTCGTGGTTCTCCTGTTGCATACGATGATGGAGAAGCAAGGAGCAAGGCCAGCAGGGCTGTTTTGAAAAGATGGTTGGGAAGATTTAGGAAGACCTAAGTGCTCCTGCACCATCCCACCTGTAATCCATGTGAAGTCCAGGGCTATCTGGAGAGGGCACAGCTCTTGGAGGGGAGGGAGGGCTGTTCTTTTGGAGCTACATGCTCCTGAGCAGCCTGGGAAAGGGAAGCATGGTGACGATGGCTTAAGAATTCAGCTCAACTGAATTGGAGTTTCCTGGGACAAAGCGAAAGTACTTCTTGAGCCTGAAGGCTTTTTAGTCCTGCTGAATTTCAAAGGCTTGCTGCAGTAAGTGGAAGTGCTGATGCTTGTGACCTTTTACTAAGAAGCATCTTTCATAACAGGGAATCGTAGGCAGCCTAAATATAGTGGTTGCTACCAGCTTTCGCTGTAATTCGCAGCCCTTCTGTTGTTCACTTGTACTGCTTGCTTTCTTTTTCTCTCTCTTATTTGTAGGCTTGCTATCTCATCCTTATTTTAGTTTTCTTTCTTTTTCCCTGATGAGATACATGAAGACTATCGAGATTGCAGCACCAGGATATCGGATGAGCTTCTAATTCTAACAAAAGTGTTGCATTTCACATGTTGTTTCTGGATGTCTTTTAATTAAAGCATGTCAGTTTCTAAACCAAGAGCTACAAATAGTTACTCATTTGATAGTTTAACAGAAGTATTGAGTGCTGAACTTAAATGCCCCTCTCATAAATCTAAGACAAGATTTTTCATTTACTCACAAAGACGTTTGGGTGACCTCTGAAGTACAATTCAAAAGATCGTGCAGCTCACAAGCTATCTTGTTTATTTGTTTACTGAGAATGACATTTTAATCACAAGAAAAACGGGCTGGAAAGACAGGGATATTTTCCAATCTTTAGAAACAAAATTGCTCCTACCCTAGTTATAGATCTTTATGTAAAGGCACCTGTGTCCTTTCATTATCATTCAGTGACACTAGAGGAACGCCTTGCCTGAAATCCATAAAATCTTGCTGAAATTTGGCTTCCAATACAGAAAGTCGGAGAATGTGACATGTCAGTTTAGAATATAATAAATGTATTAACTTCATGTCTCTGAAGGCATTTCAGAAAAGTGTGAGTCATTTGAGTAATGCAAGAGAAAGTGAATCTGAAAAAATCTTAATGCTTGCAAATAAGAAATTGAACCAGAATTTTGATTCCCAAAAATAAAAAAGTCATAATTTAAGAGTTATATTCCTTAAACAGAATCAGACTCAGTATGAAAATGTATTGCTTTCATTTCTTCAATCTTAAAACTGCATTTATTTAAAAATATAATTTAAAATTAGACATGGTACATTTAAATGAGATTACTTTGACAAACCTAGAATGTGAAGAAGTGATTTCCCAAAGCAGAGTGGAGAATTTACTTTTGTATCAGGGAGCTCCGATTAGCCTTATCACAATGCAGACTGTCAGTAATTGAGAATAAGAGTCATCTACTTTGGTTAAAGTAGTATTGGCTTGCTAATTTTGTATAAAATAATTATTTTCACAGAAAGAAATCTTGAAATCGGATCTCATTGTCTGCACAGCGGCTGCTGTTCTGTCATTTGCTGTCAGTGCCAGTACTGTGTTTCTATCATTAAGGGTGTGTATCTCCTTCCCCCCCCCCCCCCCTTTTTCCTCCTAAGGTACTATCTCTTTTATGCTAAACCACAGGGTGCTTTAACTGGAAAGAATAGAGATCATGACAAGAGAAGTTAGTAAAAATGTATTTACTGGTCATGATAACATTTTGGTTTTTTAAGTGCAAGGCAGTTAGTTTATGGATATTTGTATTAATGTAAGTGTTACTTGTTTGACATCTCTTTCCTTAAACCTCTGCATATCCACAACTCTCTTATGATGTGGAACCTGGGGGACATAATGAATAAGCCTGATCACTTGCTTTTTCCCCCATTTAGGGAGGAAAATGCAAACATGCACAAAATACGTATTTCAAAATCCATATCCACTTGTGGAGTCAGAGTTTGAACATAGGAATAAAAATTCATTGCACAAAAATGCAATTATAGGAACTGTTAAAAATAATTTTATGTAAAAATGTTATTTGCAAATTATAACCATGTTTCATTTTTTTCTCTTTTGGCTCAGCCATTTCTCAGCATTGTCTTATTTGCTTTAGCATGGACAGTGGGATTCGTAACACATTACATACTTCCTCAGCTTCGCAAGCATCACCCCTGGCTGTGGATCTCCCATCCCATACTTAAAAGCAAAGAGCACCAGCAACGGGAAGTAAGAGGTTTGTAATAAAGTCTTTTCTGAGCAATGGATGTAATGACTTGCAGCTTGTCTTGGTCTTAAAAAAAAAAAAAATAAAATAAAATCCAGAAGGAACAGAGCGGAGAGAATAAATTATGCTTTCCATTTCTCTCTTTTGAATAGCATGCATAGCCTATCACTTCCATTTTTTTCCCCCAATGACCAGCAAATCTGAGAACCTGTGGAAGCCACCTCCAGAGACTGCTGCATAGAAGGGCTGAGGCTGGGCAGGCCCCTTGCCTAGTTCAACACCCCTGCTTAGAGGCAGGTCGGCTAGAGCAGGTTGCTCAGGGCTGTGTCCAGTTTTGAATATCTTCAAGCACGGAGACTCCACAGTGTTTCTGGACAACCCGTTCTAGCATTCTATTCATTATGATAAGAAAGGTTGTTTTGTTTTGTTTTTCTTATGTTGAAATGGAATTTCGTTTTGTGCCCGTTTGCTTTTTGTCTTGATCAACTTCACCCTCCCCTTCAGGTATTCACACACAGAAAATGCCCCTAATCAGGCATTAATAAGATGCCTCCTGAGCCTTTTCTTCACAAGGCTAAGTAATCCCGGCTCTTTCAGCCTCTCTTCCTATGTCAAATGCTCCTGTCCCTTAATCATCTTACTAGCCCTAAGTGGCCTTTCATGAGTCATCGTCTGATCTGCTTTTGTTTTTACATTACAGTACTGTTACTTGCTGTGTTGCTTGGTATGTTATAATTCATGCTTGATACATTGGCATTTTGTATAATTTAAAAACTTAAATGATTGATGAAATTGAGGCAGAATTTTTTCTGCTTTCTGGCATATAACTATATACCATTTGAACAGCATGGATAGTGCAACTTAGAGTTCTAATTTCCATCATAACACTTTTAGAGAAACATTAAAATTGAAAGGAACTGTGAAATTTTCTTGAAGATTTGTTCTTGCTAATGTCTGCTGGATTCAGTGTAGTGCCCTGATACATGCAAGAATCAGTAAATATTTTAGTGTGTCGAGGTCTGATTTGCTGTTCTGATACAGTTATTTCTGCAAGCAGACAGTGTACTTTGATAAGCACAACTTCCCCTCCCTGCACCACCCCCCTCTCTGGCTCTCATCTTGCCTTTGCTACCAGCCAAAAGCTTGCTTGTCACTTCTTGATGGATCCTGTGTCTTAATCATTCTCAATATATGTTCCTGAGGTGTTTGAAGACAGCATTGTCAGAACACAGTCTGCTGAGGGACTTCAGTCTGTTCTTCAACTAGACAACAAAAGAGTTCAGATCACTCTGCAAAACCATGCATTAAGGATTTAAATCTTTTTTAAAAAAAAAAAAAAAAAATCATGTCTTTCAAAATGATTACTTTCCAAACAAGGCTTGGGTATGAAAGAAGTACCCAAGAGACTTGATTGAAGGTTGCCTTTTAACTTTGACTGCAATACGCCAAGCTAAGTGTAGTAGAAATATAAAAGGATCATGCCCAACTGAAAACATTGTTCATTGCTTCCTCTCCCTGATAATAAATAATCCTGATGAATACTCAAGTTTTATTGTTTGTTACATCACTTAATCACAAAAGACTACAGTAGGATTTCTTTCCCTTGTCCTGATTAAGTCTGTCTTCATTTGTCAGAAAACATTGTTTTCCTAAACGCGATGACTCGGCTTTTGAAAAGGTTGAGGGTAGAGATCTGCCAGACTGATCTCCACAGATGGGTTTCCTTCTGCTTTGAGATCAGCTGCATTTCCCATGCTACCTGCTGCGGGCAACAGGCTTTTTGCCTTCTTTTGCAGTCCTCATTTTATATGTGGTCCATTTTTGCAACGTGAGGCTTAAGTATTATTGCGATGTATCTGGTGTTGTGTGTTAGAAAACAAGAGGGGAAAAAAAAAAGTTACGTATTTCAGTCCCTTAGGCTGCTGCAGAGGCTTTTTATCATGTTCTGAGATGAGACAGGCTGAGGAAAAGGTTGTGTAATCCCTTTGATAGATATGTCTGACAGGCTGTCTTCTTTTACCTTGTAAGAAAAATGTAGAAGCTGAACTTAGAGGTTCCCTGTTAGTATAGAAAGAAAAGCTTTGAAAAGGACAGTATCCTGTAGTTGTCAGGCATGGGGAACGAAAACATAAATACACCAAACAAGATGTCTGTGAGGAGCTTTTACTGCATAGAATTTCATTTTCAGCTTCCTAATTTTTGACGAGTGTAGTGCTATGGGGAGATGAATGGTTGCTTGCAATTAGACCAGCAGCTGGTAATGGTAATTCCACAAGTTTATTCCTGGCTTTGTTTCATAGACTCCAGTTGAGCTGTTCAAACTTTCAGGCCTTCCGCAGAATAGCAATTATCAGATCAGTTCTCATGATGCCCCTGTGAGATAACTCATTTATTACATGTCATTGTTTCACCTGACTGCAGGAAGAAAGGCTGAGGTGAAGATGTGTGAGCTTATTATACGATAGATGTGTAGAAAGCAGTGCAGGACTGAGTGAGAAAGAAACTCTGAAACATGAGAGACTATTTTTTTTCTTCTCCTTCCTTCCCACCACTGCTTTTATACCCCACAGATTCATGTAAGCCATTTTCAAGTCATTAACGTCTTTCCCTGAGCCCCCTCTGAATGTGAGCTGTTTTTTTTCTGTCTGCATTGTCTGCACACATCTCTGTTCCTGCAGCTACCTTCTTTTTGGTCTACTTGATACGCACATCTCTTTATTCAAGCTTGAGTTCTTACAGAGCTCAGCTTTGGGCAGCTGGATTAAGTTCTTGAGTGGAGCTCTGAGAGCAATTTGTAGTTCAGGAGGAGGAGAGAGGAATGGAGAATAACAGCTAGGTTCCAAAATGGAAATTTCACTGCATGTATGAACGATTAGGAAGTTGCCTTTAGGTGATAAGAGGAGGAAATATTTTTACGTTATAACAAGAAACAGAAGTTGATCATGTTTTCTGAAGGTAGATTTTTTGAAAGAGCATTGCCTTATCTTAAGATACTGGCGAAGTATGACTTAAAGCTAATTTGGAAGGATTTCTTTCAGATCTTTCTCTTTGAGCCTATACAATATACAACTGTGCCTGTGGGACATACAAATTTGTTGATTCAGCATGTCTTCTTTGCTTGTTATTGAAAAGGTGTGTGTGAGTGGGTAGGATGTGGATACATAATTATTTTAATTTCTGCAGGGAAGAGTATTGGAGATTCAGTAGCTGACATTGTTATTTCTGAGTCAATACCAGGTTCTGCCTTTTTGAGTTCACTGCTTTTCCAATAACCTTGTCTAGCTGAACTCAGTTTATCATAAAGACATTATTTTTGTCCAGATACAAGTGTTTCTGCACTCAGTTCACCTAAGTTCTCATAGCAGTTGAACTGCACAAAACATTCGGTTCTTGTTTAATACTCAAATTAAGCACTGTGATGCTGTTAGAAAAGTCTACTGCAAAAAAGATATTCTTTACTGATGAATGATATATTCCTGGCAGATACTTTTTACAATGGCTATTTAAGTGTTTTGAGAAACATCTATGACAGTTTCTAGCTCCTGTTAATTCTTCAGTCTTTAGGTCTCAAAGGATATTTCATTTATCAATGAGGTCAATGGTACTTTGCAGTCTAATGAATGCTGCTTTGCCATTATAAGATGGGGAGAAGGAGAGGCACAGAGTTCAAATGAAGTTCCTTAGGTCATCCACCAGGTCAGTGCCAAAGCTGGAGAGGGCCTCTCCAGAGACATCGCATCACTAAAAGTGCTCTTTAATATAGTGACTAGTAATTGGATTATGTAGAAACTAACTTGTTTCTTCTACAGTATTGGAGTGCAAAAATTGCTGACAATTCGATGAAATGATCCGTTATCTGAATTCCTATTTCAGATGCTGCTCATCTGATGTGGTTTGAAAGGCTCTATGTGTGGCTTCAGTGCTTTGAGAAATACGTTTTGTATCCAGCTATAATACTGAATGCCCTCACCATTGATGCTTTCTCAATTAGTAAATACAAGAAGCTTGGTACACAGTAAGTAGATTATAACTCAAAGCATATGATTATTAGAATATTTGGGTTTAGACTGAAGATTGAAAAATGAAATTTGTTTCTTAAACAAGTCTGCTTATCACGGTTTGCTTTCATGCATTATTAGTTCAGTATACAATAATCATTTGCTTTGCTGAAACAAAAAAGCAAAACTACCTTAGCACATGCTAAGACATGACTCCAGTGAGAGAGAAAGAAATTAAAATATTAGAGCTATATATAGATATATGTGGAATATCTAAATGTCAATTAAAAGCAAGACACACTATACCAGGCTGCAGGTGTTTGATGGGCATAAACACAGTGGGGTAACAAGAATTAATCAGATGAAAATAAGAAATCTCTGGGCTGGATATCAGGAAACATTTCTTAACTGAGGATTTTTAAGACCACGGCGTAGTCTTCTAAAGGAGTTATCAGAAGTCTTTTAAGGGAAAACTGAGTAAAATATTGAACAGTGTAGAATGGTGGGTATTCCTGCATTAATAGTGGTTTGAGAAGAGCAGAGGCACGAGTTTTTTCCAAAGTCTGATGTCACTGATATTAAGCAGAACTGGTGACGCTGATCCATGGTCTCACAGTATGATCCTTGCAGACAGCCTTTTATGGTAAATATTTTGGTCAGTGACTTGCCTACTGCAGATATTCAGCAGGCCTAGTGACTGCAGTATCCCCAGTGAGCAGAGCTTCTGCAGTCTTTTTATCAGAATGACAGTGATGCAGATGATAAAAAACTAAGAAACAGCCTGGGCTCAGGAAGGAAGGTTCCAGTAGCAGGAAAAACTGGCAGAGGAGTGGGGGAGTTCCTCAGTATTAATAATTCAGATTCTTAACTTTAAATATTAGATAAAAGAACTGTCATGTGAAAACTGCATGTTGTTTTAATTATTCTTCTGTTTTGAAGAACAACATAGCTTTAGGGACTACACAGCTATAAGGAAAAGGTGGTCTCTGCTTTTAGGGGCTCAAACTAGGACTAGGGCATTAGTCAAATTTTCTGCATGTTCCTCCCAGACAGCTGCTTTTCCAGAGAGACTCTCACCAGTTGCTCAGAGATAGCCTGTGTAGTTCCCCATTGACCTTTTTCCCCCAGGCACTTGGGAGATGCTAAGGCCAAGGTGCTTCAGGAGTTTAGGTGTATTGTCCAGGGTGAAACTGAGTTCACAGTCTTTCCTCTCTTTGATTCTGCAAGGCTGGGAGAACTAAGAAGTGATCAAAATGTCATTTGTCACTGGTTAGCAGACGTGACTGAATACACGCACGGAGCAAAATCGTAGGGTTAGGAAGGTGCTATTTTTACAAAGTCATTTCTCCAAGCTACATTGCAGTTTAAAGTATCACCTCTCTCAAATACTCAGAAGTAGTGAGTCAGTCCCCTAGAAATCTTGAGATTAAAGAAAGTAATTACATTTGCTGCCTCCGATTTGTTTGGCCTGTAGGGGAACACCATGACAGTCCTTTCCTTCCCCACCCCCCCTGTGTCTGTGTGATCACCTTGGATTTAAAACCTGTTTTCTCCTTTTCCTTGTAACTGAGGTCTACCCACAACACTCACAGTATCCCTTCTTCTCTGGCACTCCTCTTTAATATGCTTCCCCCATAGCTACCATGTAAACGCAACACACAAAACATTCCTCCTCAGATCCTACCTCTTTCTCCTCGACTCTGTAAGCCTGTGAGGGATCCTGGATTCTCCTTGCTCCTTCCATATACAGTGTTACTGAGGTTTGTACTTTCTCTGCTTTAATATATAAATACCTGTTTTGTGTTGCTGGAATGTTCCTTGCTTATTTACCCCCCAAGGATCAGACCACAATGTACCTTAGAGAAGGGAAGGTGGCACTTTCCCACTCCACGTCTGAAAGTGTCTGAGGTGGTGTGTTTTGCATGATTTGATTTTGGGTTTTTCTCAAATCAAATGTGTTTTTTTTTTTTCTTTTTAATTATTATTATTTTTTTCAAAGAAGCTTTGTCTTGCTTTGTGATTTAAAGGACTGAAGCAGTTTGCTTCTTGAGGCGGCAGAACAGCTCCTTCATAGTCAGGAGTTTGCCTGAGCTTTCCAAACCCCGATGTGCTGGTTATTAAAGGGGCCCATGCTGACAAGCTGAAAAGCCTGCCTGTGTTACCTGCCACAGAGGCTTCAGAAATGAGCCTTCTCGATCTCTCTCTTGCTTTCTCTCTGCTGGGAGTGAAGGCCTCAGGAAAAGCATCTTGTGTGGCAATATCTTTAAAGAAGAGGGATAACGAGCAAGTAATTTTCTGTTACCCCTGAGAGCATTATTTTATAAAACATCTCTCTCTTTTTGGTGAAGTTTTCTGCATGTTAACAGATCCAGTGAGGAAAAAGTCTTCCTTTTGCTCTATGATCTGTAAGTTTTCCATGTAAAAATTCCTCCACGTTTCAAGGAATTTCTTCTTTCTGAAGAATGTGGAATCCAACCTGTTCATACAGGACACACTAGGATGGTTTCAAAATCTATTTGGCTTAGTTGCTAGGTTTTCCACTCAGAAATCTGGGGCAAATTGAAAAGAACAGCTTTGACAAGGTGAGAAATAAGATCAGCTTGGCATTTCATTCCAACAGTGATGTCCTGGTGATCCTTTAGAGTGACCTGCACTCAAAGTTGCACCAGGATTACAGAAGATACACAATAATGAATAAATGCCACATAAAATCAAATCAGCCTAGAAACATACAGGCTTATGAGCCTTGCTAGAATGATGAAAACTTGTTTAGAGATTTCTGGCCTGTCAAATGTCAGATATGGCATGGCAGCAGATATTCTCCTGGTTCACACCAGGATGGAGGAGAACCTTCCATGTGTTTTGCAAATACCTGGCCTGCTTTGAGTCGCTCATTATGCATTAAAGTCCCTATCTATTTTCACCAGCATCAAAAAAAGCAAGGCATGTCCCCAAAAATGAATATGCTTAATTTACTTAAGAGAAATCAACTGGCTCTCAATTAACAGGGAGTTACTTGTACATGCCTGTTAGGTTTGGGTTCTCTTTCCAGGAATAGATCCAGTATGATTCTTGGGCATCAACATGCAAAACTGCAATCCAAATGCGCTTGTTCAATTACCAGAAAACCCTGAGGGTACCTAATATCACTAAATACTCCTGAATATGACTTGGTGGTTCATTAGAAGGCTTGAAATACACTTACGAACATGCCCAGAACTTTCTGAATAAATCACTTGTCTCTTATCTTATTCTGACTAGAACCCAGAAACCCAAAGTTTTTGAGCTGAGAGCTGTTTTTGCAGCATCCCCAGTGTGTGCTCAGAATTCAGTTCACAAAATACTGCTTTTATTTTCTTCCTTTAAAAAACCTTAATGGAGAAGGTGGTGGTGCCCATTTCATTTAACAAAGTCCAGCTGTTAAGCACTTACCAGGAAAGTAGGGGCCATAGGAGGTTTACTCTTGATTCCTCCTGCTTTGGTGGTAAGGAAATTCTTATAGGAGTGAGGAATCATGTATTCCAATTCCTACTCCTGACTCTGTTCCTGTGGGTTTTAGTGGTTGTTGGATAAAATACAGAATCATGCAAGCATTCATGGTCTGGAGCCCAGTACTGCGTTGCATCTCAGGGGAGTGCCCGTCTACCTAGGTGATCTAAAAATTAATGTGTCTGAGACCTTTCTGGGATCTAGCCCCCAGAACAGGCTGTATTCTCAAGAGATCAAAATTGCTGTCCAAGCAAGACCATCTTTCTAATTCTGTAATGTATCTTAAAACTTAAAAATGTGAACAACCTCCAGTCTCTGAGTTCAGATATATATCCAGAGACTGGAATGGTTTATTAAATTCAAGGGCTGTCAACACGTTACCTCCATCTTTCCTTCTCATATAATTGTATTTTCTTTTCTTACACAGAAAACTGTAGTTTTCTGGAGAGTTGAAAGAGGAAAGTTTTCTTCCTGAAGATATAGCAGCAAGCACTTTAATTTTTAAAGACTGGACTTTTGATTTTCTGTGTGGTCACTCACTATTTAGAGTTCTCAGCTTAATGCCACTCTGTGAAATATGAGAGTAAAATGCAGACTGCATACCTTTTATAACACATAGATGCAACACACAATTTCTTTTCATCTATTGAAGTAATTACTGTATAGAATAGTAATTGACCTTCCAATCAAGAACAATGGTAAGAATTTCAAACACTTCACGTCTATGGGTGTTTCTATCCAGAATTTTGGTATTGTGTGTAATGAAATTAGGAGAATTATTATAAAATCTGTCATCATGTGAAATTTCTAGTAATAAAAAAAGAGTGGGTTCAAGACATTTATTTCAAATTACGGTAATGTTTCAATGGAAGTGGCAAGATGTTTCTGAAACTGAAATTTTATTTTAAGAGCTATACAAAAATAGCCTTTCTAGATTCTTGGGTTTTAATAGTCAATACTACTGTTTCTAGTACAGAATTCTTTCTTTGTTACAGATTACAAGTGTGATATTGATAAGGGAAAAAATAAAGTTACACATGGGTAAAATAAATGTGATTATTAAAATAAGATAATAATATCAGAAATCTGTAAGTTGTGTAGATTTAGATATACATAACAATCTAAAATACATTGGTAGAGCTATTTGTATTTAAGAGCTTCATAATTTAATGCTTTATGACTGATTTGATTAGGTTTTTCTTTCTGCCTTTCTTACAGCTGTGATATTATCCTGATAACTGTTGCTGGGATGAAACTCCTCCGCTCCTCATTCTGTAATCCTATTAATCAATTTGTTACTTTGAGCTTTACTGTAATCTTCTTCCGATTTGACTATAGAGACATTTCAGAAAACTTCTTGCTGGATTTCTTCATTATGTCCATTGTGTTTCATAAGGCAAGTTTTATAGCTCCTGTCATTTATTTGGAAAATATATTGCACGGCTTTATTTGTCTTCTCAGTGTCACAGTGCTGATCAATACGTGGTAGGATTTTTTTAAGAAGTAATGAATGCATATATAGACACAGATTGTTAGTACTATAGAGGGAAAAAAAATCTGTAAGCTGAAAGGAAGGTTCCAGTTAAATATCTTCTGTGCTTTTGTGCAATGTTTTGCATTTAGTTTTTGTTCACATGTTCCTGTAGAAAGTTCAGAATTGTTGTTTTCAAGAGCAGAATCCTCAATAAGTTGGAAAGAGCCTCTTGGGTCATTAGTGCAGGGCTGCCCTCCAGATCAATGGCCTGGTGTTTTTATCTAGGTTTCCTTTGAATGCCTCTAGTGTTTGACTCAACAACTTCCTTTGGGAAATTATTGCATTATCTAATCATTCTCATGATAATAAATGTTTTCCTAATGTCAGCCTTAACATTTTTCTATTCCTATTTTCAGTCCGTTATCCTTGTGATGCTGCCCTTAACCTTAACCTCAGAGCTCCTTCCTCTCTCTGATATTGTTAAGTCTTGGCATGTGCTCTAGTTGAATTTACTTCAAAAAAAGAACCAAAAACCCAAACTTTCTGCATCAGTCAGATCAGATCTTGTCTTGATTTGCTATCTATGCTGTTTCACTGAAAGGAGCAGATATAACTGATACCTTGATAAAACATGGGAAAGTATTGAAGACTTGCCTAAAGCTTTTACTGATTCTTTTGTTTTGTTTTTAAACTTGTTGGTCCCTGATTACCATAACATATGATACAGTTTGTCCAGGGGTAACTCTGGTGAGGTGTTTGTTGCTGCTGTGTTGTTTGTTGTTTTTTTTTTGTCAGGCTTGTTTGCTTTGTTTCTTTTTCTAAAATATTCCTGCTACATGTGTATGACCCAGCTAGCACCACTTAATTTCTGAGAGAAGAAAGACAGGGAAATTTCAGGCTTCCTAAGTAAAGGCCCAGTTCATTGATGTTATTCTGGGAGTTCCCAGTCATTCAGGCAAAGAGTAAAGCAGAAGTTAAATGCCTTTCTTGGTTTATTTCTGTGCTGCTGTAAGGGAGGAGGGGAAGTGAGGAATAACGACGACTCAGTGAGGGACCTCAGGCATCTCCTTTTCTCTAAACTCTTGGACCATACTCCAGTAGTGGCTTCACCTGCTTCAAGCCTTCAACCATCAGACTTGTTCTGCTTTCTCTGCTGGGATGAGGAGGCAAGGGTTGGGGATGGAGGGCAGAAGAAAAGGAGCAGACGAGATACAAAGCCCTGCTTTAAAAATGAACCCCTGGCCTGTGCTCTATGATCCTAAAATAGGGTTAGAGTAATTTTTTAAGCTTCTTACCTTGCAGCGAAAGATGAGCAGTGAGAGTGATGCAGAAGTTGGTAGTGTTGTGGCAGTTTTCAGTATTCATTGCATTACTATGTTGCCTAGAGAAGGGGCGCATTTCTGTCTCCAGAGAATACTGTCAGTGATGTGCATCAGTGGACATCCCATGTCTGGATAATGGCTTATTTAGTCCTAAAACTCATTGTCCAAAAACCTCTTTACAGGATCAAAAAATTAGCTCTCCAGAATGGAAAGTCTCACTATTAATGGTTTTGAAAATGTTGACCTTGTGAGCATATCACAAAATACTGGTGTGGATTATTGCATGTTTTTGGAAAAGAGAGATGTAAGGCTTTTCAGTGTTGTTTTTTGGGAGCTGCTCGAGTAGTTTGAAGCTACTATTTATAGTAAAAAAAACTAGTGATAGTAATACGAATGAGATAATGAAAGATGCATACCAAATTAAGCAGAGCTGTTTGCTAGAAGAACTACTACTCTGCTGGGCTGAAAGCATATACTACAGACTTGTTTTGAAAATGTAGTTTTAACATCAATCTGCCATATTCTTCATATCTGAAATTTTGCAGGTCATTAGCTCATCAAGTGGAGTCATCCTTGTTCTATTAAAAAAAAAAAATGGTTGAATTATTTATATTACAAAAGCACATGCACAGTTAGACAATGATCATTAAAGCCAATCTGAAAAATAGCATTGCGGATGACAGCCATTAAAGTCCTATTAATTTCAGATCATAAAGGATATAAGTTTTCTTTACCGTAATTAAGATCTGAGTTTTATTAGCTTGATATTGTGGAACTTTACTAAAAGATATGATCACCTGAGGGTAAAGATGATGTGTGTTTATTCCATACTATAGGCCCTAAGCAAGTTGCATCCACTTCTGTTCCTAAAAGCTTTATGGGTGTTCATAGATTCTGGCTGTTTGTATTTCAGTCATTTTTATGTTTACAACTATTTTTAAAAAGAAAAAAAAACCTGAAATAGTTTCTATTACCATCACCTTTGGCTATGCAGAACTTAATACACAGTTATAGCTGATTTCTGCTCACTCATTGAAAGTGTCAACTTATCACCATCTGAATTAGGGATGTGCTGTGCCTTAGTTGTAGTGATGGTAATTTTTAAGCATGGTTACCCCACAAAAAAATATTTGCATGTTCTCAAAGCACTGTGGTAGTAAGCATTTATTTTCTTCTGCTAGGCACTGGAGAAGGCGGCATCTAAATTCAACAGACATTCACAACTGCACTAGTGACTCTTGAAGCAGATTATGTTGAATAAAACTTTGCTAATAATGTTGGGTAGAGTATTTCTGAATATCTTGCTGATTGTGCTTCCCTCATTTTCCCCGTTGTGCTGTTGATTTAATGTAATCTAGTCAAATCAGAAGCTCCAAATGAGCATATTGCTTCCTGAACAAGTTGAGGCATGGAAGTCCAAATCATTGCTCACAGATTTTTATCTCTGTTTGCAGATAGCCAAGCCACCCACACTGGGGTAACACAGAGAACAAGAGAGTCTATTCAGTTCTATTCCTGCGGATTTTTTTAATCAACCTGGATTTTTTTTGGTCTTTTTAATACTCTAGGATTTATTAATGTGACACAATTAATTCACTTCTTTTTAAAAATCATTAGCTGTTTACATTTTGACAAGCTGTGGAATGTGAAAACTTAATGCTAATAGTTGATTAGGTGTATGCAGAGCATGCTATTTTGTCTTTCAAATTGCCTGGGGAAGAGAGCAAGATAAACTTTTAGGAAATACTTACTTTCTTATTTACTTTTAAGAACGATTTCAGCTTTCAATTCAAGTGGAACAGAATTTCTCCATCTTTCTTATGCTAAGACTTTCCATGTAGCCAACCCAATTTGATTACTTGGCTACAGCCTGGGCTGCTTCTGTCCAAAACTCTCACTGTCTAAATTCTTTAAATCAGACCTGAGTGGCCTTTTAAAATTATATGATTGCTCATTCAAAAATTGTGAGTGTAATGATTTACAGGAAGTCAAACTGGATAATCAAGACGGTCTTCTTAATCTACATGACTCTAAACTTTTCAAACGAGCCAGTTGTTCTCCCTGGACTTTTTAGGAGATGGTGTCAGTACAAAGATTAATAAGAACGTTCACGTTTGTTGAAAATGGAAACCCACAAATAACTGAGAATATATTCTCCATAGGCACAGCAAAGATGGAATATATAGTAGGACTTAGGAGATTTCTTCCTAGACTTCTAACAGTAGGAAAAACTCTAAGACTTCTTCTGTAATAGGATAAAAAAAATGTGGGAATATTAACCATTTTAGAGGCATGGAAATAGTAATATGATGAAGAAATAGACCTTTTTTCCACCATTCTGATGTCTACTGACATAACACTTAACTGAGGAAAAACTAATGTACGCAACACATACATGAGAGGGAGAGCATATGGATGCGCCCAGTGCTGCCCATCTTTCCAGATGTGTGAGCTTCTTTTAAAGGATGTCTGGAATAGCAACTGTTTAAGTAAGAACGAACAGGTATTGTTAAGTATGAAGTAGAAACCAATGCAAATCATTCAAACAGTGAGGCTATCAGTTTGGAACTGAGTGTTAACAAAGGTGCTCAGGCAAGGCTTCTCCCAAGCTCTTTTTCTGTGTTCTCTTGAAGATGTGACTTTGCATTTCATCCAGTACCATGGACATCCTCTAAATCTTTCTGGTGGAGAGGGGTCATAGTGTCTCCCTGAACTGCTTTTGAAACCTCAAGTGGTGCTGATGTTGAGCTGAAGGAGCAAGGACAGCAAAAAAACTTGGTAGTACGAGTGTGGATGCTTCTTGCTGTAGTATGCTTTTGACTACTACAAAAAAATGGTGGTATTTGGGGTTGTTTTTGTCAGTCTGTTCACTACTGGAAGCAACCAGCAGCAGGTTGGAGATTGCTGTATGCCAAACCCTGGTAAACCGGTTCTTTTACCAGCAACTCATTCAACTGAGAAGTGATAACTGGTTTTGGAATATGCATTTTTGCCAAATCTGTGTAGCTTCCTTTAAGCCCTAAAGAAAGAGCCACCCCTGGTTTATAAACTCATCTGCTATGCAGATCCTGATGGGAATGATAAGACCCAGTGTCATTAACCCTCTAATGTATAGGACTACAACTTATCTCTTTCAGTGTCTTGTATGTTACTGGCAGGCAGTTTAATGCCTCTTAATTTGTGTGTGTGGATGAACTAATTAGCAATACTAAAATATGAAATCACCTTATATTTTCTTATAGTCAAGTCCTCTGAGGGTTCTGAATTTGTCTTCATGCATAAGGCAAAATAATCAAAGAACCAGAGCTTGTTAAATTTGCCTTCATTAACACTGAATTCATTTGCCTAAGTACTCTTACCCCTGCTGAGCTCACTTAAGAATACAATTTCCCTGTCTGATATTTTTTCTTCTTTTCCAGAATACATTTTCCAGCTAATAAGGAATCTGCATTTTTTATTTTTTGTAAGAATTTTTCTGTCTATTTCTTTCTGCTCTAATATCCAATGTTATGCATTTATGAAAGATGATCTTTATGTCAAAGTACTCCAGCTAAGACAGCCAGTTTGTAACGACCTGCCAGACCTGTGCTGATCAAGCTT